CCTGTGAAGTCCGCTGTGCAGTCCAACGAAGAGAAGGACGAGGCCATAGCCGCGGAGCTTGACCACAGAGTGACGAAGGAGGTGAAAGGGAGGACAGAGGCAGAGACCGAAGAGAGAAGTGAAGKGGAGGAAGAAGAAGGGAGAACCGAGAACAAAAAAAAAAAAAATGGAGAAAAGAAGACAGACGGGGTGAAGAAGAAAGAGGCGAGGAAGGAGAAAGGAAGGAGAAGGGTGGTGAGGAAGGAGAAGACGACAACCATAGCTGACTGGAAGAGTTGACCGGGGGAGTTGACCGGGCGTTGACCGGACTTGACCAGGAGTTGACCGGGGGTTGACTGCAGCGTTGACCAAGCGTTGACCAGGGCGTTGACCAAGACTGCTGGCCACAAATTTGACCAAGCTAGAGCCGGTATAATCGCGCCAAGCCTTCAGCCTATCCCCTCGCCGTATGGATGTGCACACACCCTGTGGTACTTGCTGAGTCAAGTCTGTCTGTCTCTTCTTTCTGCATTGAGTCTCTTCGGTCCAGGTGATAGAACTCTGTGGATGAAGGATAGGGCCTTGTTGACCAAACCCACACGGGTTGAGTAGGGCCAAAGACTGTGTCTGACGACTCGACTGTCCCGGAGGACGTGAACCCTCGCAAGGACCGGTACTGACCGGCGGGCTGCTTGGTGTGGCACGGTAGGCCCAAAATCCGAGCTGTGGGCTGCACAACAAGCCGTCTTAAGTCTTGAGAGGACCTGCTGATCGCGTCATCCTGTCTGCGACGTTAAAGAATTCCTGAGGAGTTACAGGGGATCTCCTTAAATGCCTCCTGATCAGCAACAGGTCCTGTAGTGACAGCCTTAGAGTAGGTCTAGGCTAGTGACCCTAGTTGACAGGATCCTGTCCGAATTTTGTAGTCCTTAGATTGAGTCAGTAGGTCGTGTTAGTCAGGGGGTAGAGTCTAAGTGGTGAGGAGTGGAACCGTTGCCCGGTTGTGCACCTGACACCATGGTTGACACACGTGGAGGGAAGAGTACTACCCCTTACACCCAGGCTCAGGAGGAGCAAGCCGCCGCCATACTGAGAGAGAGAAGGGAGAAGAAGGAGAAGAAGGAGCTCCTCAAGCAAGCGAAGTTGAAGGCGATAGCGGAGGAGCAGGCGGCGAAAAAGAAGAAGTTGGAGGAGGAGATGATCAGATTGCAACAGGAGGAGGAAGAGGAAAGAAGGGCTGCCGAAGAAGAAGCAGCAGCAGAGGAGGAAGAGGTAGAAGAAGAGCCCCTAGAAAGGAGGCATAGGGAAGAAAGGGGAGAAAGTAGTGGCACAAAGGCGGAAGATAAGTGGATGGAGAAGAAGATTAGCGAGCGGGTGGCTAATTTATCGTTGGGAGAAGACGAAGAGGCACTGCTATACGTACCCCAGGAGGAGAGAGAAGCATTTGCCAGGGAGATGGAAGCTAAGGAGGACCCCCTGGAACGCCAGATGATGGAAGACAAGAAGAGGTTGGAGTGGAAGTTGCATCTGGCGAGGGAGAAGACGAGAAGGAGGGAGGAGGCCAACCGGATGGCCAAAGAGGTGGAAAAGATTCAGGCGTGCAGGCAGGAAGTGCAAGTGCAAGCGCAAGCCGAAACCTCGGCCAAGCTAGATAAGATCCTGGGTTATCTGGAAGTCTTAAGTCAGGCCTGGCTTGATGAGCATCAGGCCAATAAGGGTCAAGATGTGACCCTTCATGCCATCCGGTCAGGTTTTAGAGAGTTTGTGCACGACGTGGTGACCCATGTCGGGACCGAAGTAAAGAGATTGAAGGAAGGCGTAGAGAAGTTTTGCGTCGGCGCCGTTGAAGGCGCCAAAGTAGTGGCCACAGCAGAGGCCGCGTTGCGTCCCCGCAAAGAGCCTGTTAAGCTCAAATTTCCTGACGCTTATAGCGGGAAAAAGGATGATAACTTTTATAACTGGGAGACTAACATTAATACGTATGTCTATTTACAACATATCGCGCCCGAGGAACAAGTCCTCGTAGCCTTCAACGCATTGAAGGACGAAGCAGCCAGCTTCGCCAGGTGCTTTGCGCGTGCAACTGATTGCGAGCACAATATGATTGCGTATTCTAGGCTCACCCCTCTTTCCACTTTCCTGAAACTCCTGCGAGAGAGGTTCGCTGACGTCACAAGGGGCGTCAGGGCCTTTGACAAGCTTCAAACCATCCACTCGCGGCAGTGGAAGAGTGCACGAGCACTCAAAGCTGTCATGGACGACCTAGTAGCCGTCCCAGACCACGGGGTCACTTAGACCCAGTTTGTCCAATTATTTTATTGTGCCATGCCAGAGCCCCTGCGAGGGCATTTCTTCGATAAGACCCAACAGGCCAATATCACGTATGATGCGTTGAGTAGGGAAGTGGTCGTGTTTGAGGCGAAGTCCATGCCAGTTTGCACTTTCTGGCATAAGGACTTAGATAAGGGAAAGAAGTGCAAGGGTCGTACCATCTCAGGCCATGTCAGGGCCAAGGATCACTTGATCCTTACTTTAGATGAAGGTGGTACAGACGACGTCCCCTACAGTCAGATAAAGTGGGGGCTAGAGGAGGAGGACAGTAGTGTAGGCCAGGGGAGGACCTATGCTGCTGTTGCGGCTGGAGGGAGGTCGCAAGGTAGAGGAGGAGGCCAGGGCCAAAGGGGCCAGGCCACGGGTGGTCGAGGACCGGGCGCACAGGGGGTTGGCGGCCAAAGGAACCGCCAAGAGGGTGGTAGGGCTCAAGGTCCCCCGTCAAATCGTCAAGGTCCTAGTCGGTCCCTGCAGCGATGAGGTGGAGGATCACCTCAGAGGAGAGGAGGTTGGCACCCAGGCTGGCCACAAGGTCGGCCATGGGAAGATCTGGGCCTGGACCAGTGAGTATGGCAGCAGCGTATGGACCAGGGTCAGTGGATATATTGCGGTGACCCGGCCCATATCATTAAATATTGTCCTAAGTACAGAGAGGCCCGATGGGCTGCCCAAGAGTCAAAAGGCAGCCGCCGGTAGGGGTTGCAACTGCCCCTACTACTAGGCCATGTGGGGAAGCGAGCGCGCGCGAACAGGAAACTCCCACACCACATGMGCCTTCGGCAGAGGTTGCAGGCCGGTGCCTAGCTAGCTGTCCAGAGCCTGCTTGTGTTAGCGTCTCTCTAGGCACTTCCCTCACAGGCGTGGCAGAAGAGTCGAAGGAAAGGATGTGTGCCTGGGCCAAAATGAAGAAGGATGGTAAGGGCCAACTAGTCTTAGTGGATGTAGAGGTCTTTAGAAGTATAGTAGGGGCCCTTATAGATTCAGGGGCTACCCGCAGTTATATTAGCCGTAGAGCGCTGAAGAAGCTAAGGCTAGGGTTGAAAGTCCAGAAGTTGGAAGACCCCATAGTTAGTGTCCTCGTAGACAACCGCACTATGCGTGTTAAGGACTACGTAGAGGGAGTCCAGACGTATTTCTGCCTAGAGAAAGATGGGAAGGTGGAGAAAGTTCTCCATTCCCTGACTCTCCTCGTACAGGATGACCTTCCTTTTCATGTAGTCCTAGGTATGGACTTGGGAGAGGCAGCAGGGCCCACACTTCATTTGAGAGAGAATGAGTGTAGGCTCCCTAGTCCATCAGGCGAGGTTAAGACTGCCCGCCTGTTTCATGTGTCTGGAGTAGATAACTCCTTGGCACATTGCTGTCTCAGTGCTCTCACGTTCGCACAGTTAGTGGGAAAGGAGAAGTTAGAGGAGCAGGTCTTCGTAGCCTATGTGAGACCTGTCACTGAGCCTAAGGAAGACACACCCATAGACCCAACTATTGTCAAGTTGTTGGAAGAGTTTAAGGATTTAGCAGAGCCGCCGACAGGAATAGTGTTGCGGCCAGTCCAGCATCGTATAGAGATAGAGCCTGACAGTAGGACTCCTAAGGGAGCAGTCTACAGGATGTCCCCAAGGGAGTTAGAGGAGCTGCGTAAGCAGTTAGACGAGCTCCTCGAAAAGGGTTGGATTAGGCCCAGTTTATCTCCTTTTGGAGCACCAGTTTTGTTTGTCCCCAAAAAGGAAGGAGAATTGCGTATGTGCACAGACTATAGGGGTCTGAATGCTATCACAGTGAGGAATGCTGAACCGCTGCCCAGGATAGACGATCTTCTAGATCGGGTGCAGGGTTGCAGATATTTTTCGAAGATCGATTTGAAGTCCGGATATCATCAGAAGAGGTCCATCCTGATGACCAGTATAAGACAGCGTTCCGGACTAGATATGGGCACTACGAGTTCATAGTGATGCCCTTTGGACTAACCAACGCGCCTGCCACATTCCAGCGCTGTATGAATGATTTGTTTAGGCCTTGGTTAGATAGGTTTGTCTTAGTTTACTTAGACAACATCTAAGTGTTCAATAAGACCCTCCAAGAGCATCAGGGTCATTTGAGGCAGCTCTTGGAGAAGCTGAGAGAGGCTAACTTCAAGATCAACGCAAAGAAGTGTGAGTGGGCCAAGACACAAGTCTTGTACTTGGGCCACGTTTTAGACGGAGATGGCATTAAGCCTGAGGACAACAAGATAGCAGCGATTAGAGATTGGCCGACGCCCCGCACGTTGACGGAGTTGCGGTCGTTCCTAGGCCTAGCTAACTATTATAAGAAGTTCGTGAGGAACTTCTCGACCATCGCCGCTCCCCTTCGCAGGTTGCTCAAGAAAGAGGCGATCTGGCAGTGGGACAAAGATTGTACGTCTACGCTAAAGAAGTTAAAGCGCGCATTGATAGAGTATCCTGTCCTCAAAGTAGCAGATCCGTCCTTGTCATTTGTCGTCACCACGGACGCGAGTCAGTATGGTATAGGCGTTGTGTTACAGCAGGACGACGACAATGGCTACAGACCCGTAGAGTTCATGTCAGCGAGAATGCCCTCAGAAAGTGTAGCTACCTCGACATAGGAGAGGGAACTCTACGCTCTCAGGCAGGCCTTGGAGCATTGGAAGCATTACCTGCTTGGGAGGCACTTCAGAGTGTATTCATACCACGAGACTCTTAGGTGGTTGAAGACACAGGCCAAAATGGCACCTAAGTTGACTAGGTGGGCCGCTGAGATAGACCAGTATGACTTTGAGCTCGAGCCTGTTAAAGGCAAGTACAATGTAGTTGCGGACGCTCTAAGTAGGAGGTCAAATTACTTTGGAGCCATAGTTCACTATCTGGATATAGGGGGTGACCTGCAGGAGAAAGTTAGACAGGCATATGCGCAGGACCCTATTTATGGTGACCTTCTCAAGAGAGTTAAGGAGGCCCACGAGACCGAACCAGATTACCACACTACAGAGGGGTTGTTATTTGAGAAGGCTAATGTAGTAGACCGTTTGTGTGTCCCTAACAGCGAGGAGATTCGTAGTTTGATCCTAGGGGAATGCCACGACACAAAGGGACATTTCGGTTGGCAAAAGACTTTAGCCAACCTGATGCACGCGTATACGTGGCCAGGAATGAAAGCCGACTGCAGAGAGTATGTTCGCAGTTGCAAAGTTTGCCAGAGAAATAAGACCTAGTAGGCACGGCAAGAGCCAAGTCATGGTCATAGTTGATAGATTTAGTAAGTATGTTGTTTTTGTTCCTTTGCCTGCAGAGGCACGCACCGAGTTAGTTATTCAGAATTTTTTTTATTTTTGGGTTAGTGAACATGGAGTCCCATTGTCTATAGTTAGCGATAGAGACACCCGGTTCACGAGTCAGAACTGGCAGGAACTAATGAGAGTTTATGGATCAAAGTTGTTGATGTCGTCTGGCCGCCATCCAGCGACTAGCGGTCAGACTGAACAGATGAACAAGACCCTGCAACAAGTTCTGCGCATGTACGTTAGACCTGATCAAGTCAATTGGGATGAGATGTTGCCCAAGGTAGCCAGTGCGTACAACAATAGCGTGCATTTGTCCACCTGTCGCACTCCCAACGAGTTACACAAGTCCTTTAGACCGCACAGACCGTTTGAGGGGCTTAACCGGGATCAGATTCATAGGCTACCGCCCGGTACCAGGGAGTTCGTGATGCAGCACGAGAAAGAGCTAGCTACAGTCATAAAGAACCTCAGGAAGGCCCAACATAGAATGATAGAGCAAGCCAACAAGCACCGTCGCCCATCGCAGTTCCAAGTAGGCGACTTAGTCTGGGTCAAGTCGAAAGAGTTTGCTCCTGAGGGAAACATCTCGCAGAAGTTACTGCCAACGTATAGGTGACCATGGCCAGTTCTAGAAGTCAAGGGCGGAGAGGATGGGCCGTCCTACACAGTAGAGATCCCAGCACACCTCCACACCTACCCGGTGTTCCATGCATCAAAGTTATTGCCGTGTGTCACAAGTCAACAGTTTCCATCTAGAAGGTCCATGATCCCTCCGGACATGGACGGAAGATACGACATTGACGACATTGTAGATGAAGACGTGTTCAGAACAGGAGGTAGAGGTCGTCCACAGAAGCAATATAAGGTCCGGTTTGCTTATCAGGAACCGGAGGACAATCGCTGGTTTACCAGAACAGAACTGCTAGAAACAGTTCCCGACATTGTTAGGGCCTACGAGAGAGATAAGAAAGGTAAAGGTCCTGCCTTGGACTGAGTTATTCTTGGAGGACCTCAGATTTAGGCCGGGGGAAGTGAAACGGTATTCACCTGTTCGCAGTAGCCGATGCAGATCCCAGGGCTCGATCCCTAGTCCTTACCTTACCTGGGTACAGTATTTGTGTCGACCCCGAGAGTTGAACCCGCGACCTGTGTATGTGTAACAGTTGGTAGACTGTCGTAGGGCCCGTAGGTAGTAGGGGTTCGATCTGTAGACCTGTCGGGTAGGAGTCTTAGCAAGGTCTGGAAGTCGTAGCTGTAGCTCCTCTGAAAGGTCAAGGTCGTAGCTGCTACTGTATCGAAAGGCCAAGTCCACGGCCTTCCGGAAGGTCCTAGTAGTGGCCTTTCGAAGCTGCTCACGTTTAGGCTGAGGCAAGTGGGCAAGTGGTGGAGTCCACCCATGCTGAGTCAGCAGTCCCAGTCCCAGTCAGTCCTAGTCCAGTCAAGCAAGTACCACATGGGACTGTGTGCACCACGGGCATGGGAAAAGGGGCAGACCAACGAGATACAGAAGTATAAATCAAGAAGCAGCGCCCAGCTATTCATTCATTCCTGCGTAAGCCATGCGGAAGCACTGCCACAGCGACTTGTGCGAGGTGGTCTGCAGTGAGCCCGAAGACGAAGTGGGTGAGAGAAGGAGCTTAGCCATGGCGATAGGGTAGCAGCGGCCATAGCCGCCATAGCTGTTGGGAGAGTGTAGCGTGTGTGTGTGTATGGGTGTACAGAGTGCC